TGGCAGTCATCCTGCGGCCTGGACAGGCAACTTAAGTGGTTTCTCGGCAGCGATGTGATGCCTACAACGATATGATATGATTATGTTAAACGCTCGTTTTGTTTGCTCTCTCACTCACATGCACATGATTCGGATGCGGATTCACGGTGGCAGTGGCAGAGACAGCGGCACAGACAGAGGCAGAGGCAGAGGCCACATGCTGCCTGCTGTCATTGGTCATTGGCGTAACGCGCGGGCAGCTGCTGTTGCTGCTGCTGCGTCGTCATGCTCTCTTAACTGATTTTCCAGTCTATGGGCTAAAAGGAGCAGCAGCCAGGCTGTATTCAGCTCAGCTTCAAGTTGACGATTTCATAATTCAATTTACAAGATAAGGCGCACAAACCAACCAACCAGCCAACCAGCCAGGCGACCAGCAACAGAAACAACAACAACAACAACACATTTTGGGGCGTGTTGTGCGCAGCAAACAAAACAAAAACACAACAATCAAAACATTAAAAAAACCTTTCAATTAATTATGCATCAGCGATTGCGTTTAAATAAAACACATATCAGTCAAATCTATCTATCAGAGATTTTCACATATTATTTCTTTTATTTTTTTGCTTTTCTTCTTTCACATTTGTTGTCAGCAGCAACGGCAGCAGCTGTTCCAAGTTACCCATACGCCCTGTTGCACATATATGTAAAACGATATATATTACAAAATGATGCGCGCCTAATAAGTCAGAAATGAGCTGCTAATTTAACTTAGATCTGATCAGAAAAAATAGACACACGATTTATAATAACTACTCTTCTGGCTTTTAATGTTGACATTGAGGCTTGAAAGTGTGATTTCAGAGGTCGATCCAATATATCATTAGGCAGCCATAGAAACGAATGGAATGAACAGAAAGAACGTTGATCTTGAATGCGAAATATTTTTCCCTTGCAAGACATCGCACTTCCAAGTTATGATGCGTAATTCATTTATTCATCTGATACGGATTTTTGAGAGTCTACGTTGAGGTATTAAAACAATAACAATAAGCATTATTTACTATCCTCGATCCTTTCTGTGCTAACAAATGTATGGAAATATCTTATCAAAGAAATTCTATTATGTATATAACATGTATATTTAGTTTATATATTGTTTTTCAAGAAGTTGGTACAAAATTCACCTATTAGCGAAATCTTCTAAGCATCCGACTATCATATCATATATATTCTATATAAAGACAAAATTGACCCAAAAATGACTTTTTTTATGAAAATATGGTTCAGCACAAAAGATTAACGATTGCGTATTACATTTTTGGCCAACCTTGCTAAATGCGTTTTTACTTCTCTCTTATTGTTATTATCAAAGAAGACCCTAACAATTTCCACATAAAAAAGTGCGAGTTCTTATGTTAACTGTGCAAATACGCGAGATCCTTTAATTCCGTGCATAATTTCAAATCAGACAAGCGTTAAAAACATTTCATTATAACGCTACACAATCGGAATATTTAATGATTTAATCGGCCAACGAAATCAGCCACAACAGCAACAACAAGAAAGAGTCTGAAAGGCAACAACAACAAGAACTGCACAGGCAACACCTAAGCAGAAGCAGGAGCTTAAGTTGAGGCTGCAGCCAACTGCAGACAACGTGGCTCGATTAACTGCTTCAAATTCACAGATTTTAAATTTAAAACGTAGCCACAGAGCGCAGAACATGTAAAAAACCCACAGTGAGATACACTTTACGCCCCCCTAGCCGCCTCGCCCTCCCTTGCCAGTCAGATATAATGGCGCGAGTTTCATGTTTACAAAAAAGATTATGCAGCGCCCAGCAAACGTGCTGAAGCGCTCTGGAGCTGTGTAGTTCAGTTCTTTAGCTGGAGTTCTAATTAAACAATTCGTAGAATTTCGCGTTAATTGCGAGAAAACGAGTTGAACGTGCAACAGTGTGGCAGCAACAGCAAATGCGAATGGGGCATGCGGCTCGGAGCCATTGCATTTTTGTGATTTTTTATTTATTTTTTTGTCGTTCTTGTTTTTGGTGAGCTGCACCTGAGAGACAGAGCTGTGACACGTCTTAAGCGCAGTGAGAAAGCTCTGAACTTTGATTAGCTGCCATTATGCCTATGATATGGCATAATTATGTGGGCAGCGGCTCTAGCTGACCCGCATCTAGCAATGAATTCATCAAGCTCTATAATTAAAGCACACGTGACATGCCAGGCAAAGCGGTAGCGGGCGCGGGAACACTGACGGGTGGAGAACTAGCAAGAACTGAGGATCGCAAACGGAGAAAACTCAATTCAAATAATCGGCAAACAAGATCGACAGATGTTCAACAAAAACCCAGAGCACGGACAACAGCAACAACAATGAAGACGACAACGACTACGTCTCGGAGGCAGGAATGAAGGAGGACTGCAGAGGTCACTGGGGTGCACCGACCGTTGTCCAGATCGATCGAACCAAAAGCCAAACCAGTCGCACGTTTCGCTGAGCAAATAACGCCCCATTTGTTGCCAAAATACTAAACTAAAGCCCTTAATCTAAACCACTTTGGGCAATGAAAGGGTACAAGCAGGAGCAGCGGCAGCGGCAGATCGGTCTGAGCGATCGACATTCGACAAAAGCCACGCATATTTCGCATAGCCCAGGCACACCTTTTCACAAAAGCTTCAAACAAGAGAAACGCACCAAAAAGGGAATAACCACAGCGCAACCGCAAGCACCACGCAATCGGGCGTACCCGACTTAAATATACCCTATACCACATTCCAACTACGTTCTATGCGTACAGGGTAAAAGAAACACACGTCTGTCGGTCTAAAACACAGAACGATGTCGGCTATGTATGGAAATGCAGCTGGCCAAGCTATACCCCCAAACAAAGAGTTTCTACAATTTCAGGGGTAGAGCATTCCAAGAAGGGAATTTCTCAGGATTTATGTACACTCTAGGAGAACCTGCACACCAAAGATATATGAGTTGTGCTTAAAAGCCCTAGTTTGAAAACCGATATTTATTTATGTGATAAAGGAGTGCTTTATCAAATATAAGCTAGATATACTTTCAAGTCCCTAGGCTTTATGAAGTCGCAGATGTGTTCTTCTGCATGTTACATACATATATTGGCAAAAAAAAACCTATATACCCTTTTTAACCAATGGGCTTAGCATATTAAAAAGCATAGAATATGAGTATGAGGCACACACAAATGTACTCATGTGTGTGCGTGTGTGTGTGTGTGAGAGTGAATGTGTGTATGGGCATTGTTGAAGTACCCAAAACCCGCACGCAGTCAACGTCAACGCAACGCTACCGTCGATCATCATCCTCGTCATTGCGGCTCTCGTCATCAGTCCAGGCAGACGCACAGAGACTGGAGGACAGACAGACTGAGAGACACTCGACGGGGCAAACGGGGCTGCGCTTGCGCGCTTATCAGCAGCGATTAATCTGCATCGCTGTTGCTGATAACGCCCTGGCGACCCTGTCGAGCTTGTAGCCCAGTGTCGAACGCATTTGTACCTCAGCAGCAGCAGCGGCAGCCACAGCTGAAGCCTCATCATTGTTAGCCGTGCGCAGTGGCAGCCAACACTCATGTTGAAATTATGATGGCTTCTAAGTTGCGCCCCGACTCCGTTCAGCGAAGGCAATGTCATGTGCACGCATTCATACACACATAAACAAACACACACACACACACACACATGTATATACACACACATATTTATGTGGGCATATGGGCAGCTCGATCGTATCGTGCCTTAGATGTCATCTTGATGATCTATTGACGATATGTCGGCTCACAAAAGCGCAGATTTGTTCGTTCTTTTATAATCAGATGCTGTCAACATTTGAAAAACTTGTGGCTATTAACATATTTATGTATACCATATATATATATATATATATATATATATAGATGTTTTCGACCTAACTGAATTATTGACAGACTGCGAAATTGCCGTTGTAATTTTAAAGAATCTTTATGAAAACTAATTTCAGAAGCGTTTTCAACTATTTCCGAAGAAAATTCGAATCACAGATTTCTTGAGCGAGTTTTAAACTAATTTTCAAAGCCCTACATAAACACCTAATGATGCTAAATTGGCGGAAAACGGTTGAACGAGAGTTTCTTATTTTTCAAACTCATTTCCAAGGATCTTTCTTCAAATTCATCTGATACCTGATCTGATAGTCGGGAGCTCCCGACTAGAACTTCTTACTTGTTTCAATTTGCAGCTTGGTCTTGCATGTATACATGCAAATGTACATAAATACATACATACATATGTACATGCATAAAACAAACAAACAAAATACATATACATATATACAGAGACATCCATACATACATACATTTATGCATATTGCTGGGAGTACCCCTTCTTATGTTTTTATTTTTTTTGCGTGTTTTATAAGAGCTATGCGATTCTCGTGAATTCAAGAAAGACTCTCTCTCTCTCTCTCATCTCTCTCCCCATCTATATCTCCTCCCTTTCTCTCTCTCTTTCGTATCTTATTAACATTTCTTTCTCGTGCTGTACAAATGCTCTACCCCATCCGCTCTATATAAATAAAATTACTGTAGTACATCTTAAGAAATGGAAGTTGTTAGCGATATACTTATAACTAAACTTGCCTAACTTTTGGAGCATGCAAAATTAAAATCTTTTCATTTTACTAATATCTTACACGCCGGACCTATACAGTTGGTCGCGAGTGCATTTCTTTTATTCAGCTGCCAAATACCAAAAGAAAACAAAAAAATTAAATAAAATGTTCAATTCAACATTGTTGCTGACGAGCCATTTGGGTGTTCGAAGAGGTTCCCAAAGGGGAAATAATACACACGCTTGTTGTCCGGCTTATCTGGGTAAGCATATAAGTAAATGGTAAATCATCAGCGCGTCCCTCGCTCCCCGCCCGCTCTCTCACTCCATCAACACAGCTGCGCCTGGCGATAAGCCCGCAGCAGCCGTCGTCGTCCAGGTCGATCGTGACTTTAGTGCATTTAGCGCGTTTTCAAGCGTCGGTTGTAGCGCTCACAAAATCGAGCAGAATATAAATATATATAGTATCGGAAATATCGGAAGTATTGCAGTAATGTATAAGCTATGTCTGCTGCTGCTGCTGGGAACACAGTGCCTGCCAGCAGCACTCGTCTACGATGACAACGAACGCCTAAACTTGAGCGCCAGCTGTCCGGACGCCGTCTGCCGTCTGTGGGAGCTGCAGAGTGACTATCAGCGACCACTGCGTTACGTGAGCGGCCAAGTACCGCAATTGCAGCAGCTGCTGCTGGGCAACAGTCGTATGCGTGTGCTGCCCGTGGAGCTGCTGCGACAGGCGCCCAATCTGCGCAGCCTGATAGTGCAGAACTGCAGTGTTTACCATGTGAACAAGGAGGATTTTCAGGCGACGCCACAGCTGAAGGAACTGCTGCTGCAGCGCAATCACATCGCACGGCTGAAGGAGCAACAGTTTGGGACACTGCAGCAGCTGCAGGTGCTCCAACTGGACCACAATATCATACAAGTTGTGCACGCCCAGGCCTTTGAGGGCTTGGCGGAACTGCAGCTACTGGGACTGCAGGGCAATGGGATCACGCAACTGATGGAGGGTGCTTTTGGAGCACTCACAAATCTCAGACACCTGGATCTGAGTGACAACGAGATTAGAGAGATCAATGGACAGACCTTTGCCGGCAATGGCAAATTGCAAACGCTCCTGCTGAGTGGCAATCAGCTGGCACAGTTTGAGCCCAACTCCTTGGCAGCACTGTCTCAGTTGCGTTTGCTCGATCTGAGCAATTGTGGCCAGCTTGAGGAGCTGCATCTGCTGGGCGCTCAACGGCTGCTGCTGGAGGGCAGCGGTGTGCGGCGCCTAATCATCGACGGCGGCGTTATCAATCTTCAGGCGGGCAAAAATACGCTGACTCAGTTGAGCATTGGCGATAAGAGTGCCGTCATCGAACTGGACCTGCATGGGAATCAGCTGAACGGCAATGCGACATGGTCGCTGCTGCAGGGCATGTGGAATCTGCAGCGTCTGGATCTGGCCAAAAACCAAATTGAATCGCTGTCTAGTGCGGACAGCTTGAGCCTGCTGCTGCCTAGTCTCACCCATCTGAATCTGGCCCACAATCAGCTACGCAGTCTGCCACCAGATACGGCGCTGCTGCCAACGCATCTGCTCCAGCTGGACATATCCTACAATCATATGCTCGCGGTGAGAGCACAAAACTTTGCAGCACTGCCGCGCCTACAGCGTCTGCATATGGAGGGCAATCGCTTGCATCAGTTCGATCACGAGCTCTTCCATCGGCAGCATCCGCATCTGCAGGAGCTGGGCATCTGCGATACCGAGGGCAGCTACAGTTTTATGCACAAGATGCTGCTCTACCTGAGCGATCGTGGCGTCCACCTGCCTGTGCACTGCCTGCACAAGCCTGACAGCAGCATGGACGCCAAAGCAAGGCTAGATGATCCAGCGGAGCCGAATGCGGCACAAGCTCAAACAAGAGCGGGTGTCACCGGCATTCATCCATATTGGACAACACGTGATGTCTTGGCTTTCCTCACCCTGTTGGTGGTGTTCATCATCTTGCTGATGCAACTCTATCGCATCCTGGAGGAGGAGGGCTGGCTCCGACGCATGCACCACTGGATCATGGGCAGGCAGCCAGCCGTGACCAACGGCACCAGACCCAGGCGCCTCGACGAGCAGGACTCTCAAGTATGAATTGGCGTTTGAAATTTTTTTGTTTTATTATTTTTTCTTTTTTGTTTTGTTTTTTTTTGTTTCCACTTTTGCCCCCATCCAACAGAGCTCAAGTGATTAAATGTGAGAGCAAACATGCACTTAGAGAAATCTTTAGCACATATCAATTGGCCAACGCAAGGTAAATTTTTTTAAAAACATTATTTTGCTTTTTTTTTTTTAAGAATAAAAACAAATAGAAAAATGTATAAAAAAAAATGCGCAAAAAGATATATAAATAATTGTAAATATAATTATATATTAGATAATATTATAAACTATGTGAACTATGTATGTAGGGAAGATCTTTATTATCACGACCAAAACTTTTGATGCTTGATTTTAAGTTTTACATTTCCATCTTCGCACTGTGTATAAACTTTAGTCAAGCTGCAAATATTTTATTAAAATTAATCAACAGCAGCTTACAAATTTCATAAAAGTTCTAAAATTATTTAACTTATCTATAATTTCAAACAGTCTCATGTTGCAAAGAAAATGGAATTCCCGCTACAAAAAATTAAGCAGAAATTTTGCAAGCTCAGAAAAGTATTTTATTAAACATTTATTTAAATTTTTTCTGCACTGTACGCCTATTCACAAATTTTTCAAGGCTCATATTAAGATTCAGATCTTAAGTTTTTTATTTCTACTTTCTCAGAGTGTATGAGCCTTTTTTAATATTCAAGAAACATTTGTTACACTTTAATATACAATCCCACTTTATTTTAGATGTATTTTGACATTTTCGCCCAGTGTATGAACTTTGCTGTTATCGGCAAAGATTCGCAATATATTTTTCAACTGTTCGCACTTATCTTGCTCAGTTTCCAAGTTTTCAGCACAGTGTATAAACTTTATTGCAGCCACATGTTGCAGAGCAGCATGTTGCCAAGCATTTCAAGCTGCATGAACTAAACGACAATTGCTGACAATTTAGCGCTAGTTAAAGTTGCATGCTGACATTGTTGTTGCCATTGCTGTTGTTGTTGTTGTTGTTGTTGTTGTAGATGTTGTTGCTGCTGCTGTGGCTGTTGTTCTTGTTGCATATTGGCATCTAGGTTTGCATATGAAATGTTGCCCAGGCACACACAAGGCAGTCGCAGAGACAAGATGCATTTGCCAGATTCGTACAAAATACGAATTTAAGTTCAAAATAATTGCACGGCATGAGGCAGAGGACAAGTCGTGTGTGCAACATGTGACTGCCTCGCGGTGGCAGCCAGTTGTTGTTGCCTCCGCCTGACCAATAACGACAACACATCCCAACACAGGAACAACTTGAACAACGACTTTTCCGCCTCCGTTGCCGCCTGCACTTGCGCGACTCTGCCTTGGACCGCCCCCTTCTGGCCAGATTTGCCTACGACATGTTTTGGGTGGAAATTGTGACCATGTTTAGAGGGTTCTGCTGGGGAACAGGCCACGGGCCGAGGGCCACGGGTGCTGGGGTTCGGACTTGGGTGCCAGTGCGCACTCGCACTCAAGATTTTGATATGCCATCGCAATTTCTGAGAAATTGTATTTTGATTTATTTATAATGTTGCAGCGACATGCACACATAGCACAAAATGGGACAGACGGTTTTTGGCCAGAGGGGCGCGTTGGTGGCAGCATTGCACGGCCTTGCCTCATTGCATTTGTTGTTGTTATTGTTGTAGCTGCATATTCAATTTGGATTTATTGTTTTTGTGGATGTTGTGAAATCATTTCGATTAAATTAGAAATATGCAAATTATGTGCAGCGCATTAATTATGCAAACAGGCCTCGCTCCCTGTGCATCACCCCCCTTGCCAACACACACACGCACCCACTCGCCTAATCAAGTGTAAAGTTTAGAGCGAGACAGCATTGAAATTAGTTTAAGCTACCCCGCGTTTTCCTGCCGTTTTTCGCACGCTCTGTGTTAGCGTTTTGGGACGCGCGCAAAACGCGCGGCAATTAAAAAAAAAACTTCACACCAGCGCGTTTCTTGTGGGCGTTCAAAAGTAAAGCGCGCGCGGCTTTTTCTGTATGAAAAATATTTCAACGATTTGTAAGCACAGATGAAATAAAATCGAAAGGCAGCGATTGCAATTGTGCCACAAGCGACCAGCAACGTGCAACGTGCAACTCGCAACGAAAAACAGAGCAGGCAAAGAAATTCAACGGGCGGAGGGGGCGGTCAGCGCAACAATTTACCAATCGTTCACGCGTCCAGGAACGTCCAGTTCACAGAGCATTATTGCGTGCCACTAGAGTAGAGCCTGCAACCCGCAGCAATGCTACTCCCCGCCGCCGCCGCCGCCGGCTCACCCCTTTTGCCGTTTTCGGGGTGGGCGTTGCCGTGGAGGCTGTGCAAAGTGTAAATTTATGATCATGCGATTTTTATCGAATGTGAATGTGAAAAAGAGTACAACGTTTTTTGCACTTTATAAAAGAGGCAGCACACACACACATACATAGAGGAGACACACAATCACAATCACATTTCGTGCCACATTTGGCGGCGCAACCACAACCAAATCCAGGCACCGCCGTTGGCCTGAACGCATTATTAATACTCGCACGCCGTCTGTCATGTTTTGTATTTAGTCAATTTTTACTTGGATTTTTTTATTGAATGGTTTTTCTTTATGTTTTTTGTATTTTTATTTTATTTTTTTTTTTAAATATTTTTTATGTATTTTATTTGGCTTAGCTCGCATCGCCGCCTCCTGCTTGTGGCTCGCTTCATAAATCATGGCGCGCGCTCTTTTTTTTTTGTTGTTTTGTTGTTTTCGGCTGCGTTTATCAAATTTTCGCACACTTGGCTTTGGCTGGAAAATGTGATTTTCCAAGCGTTTTATGAGACACGCCCCAAAGACAAAGTGCAACAGCAGCCGCCGGCAGCTCCCAGACATTTTGGGCCCGGGCGGCACGACGATGACACGGCGCGACCCCATGCCGACGAACGGCCAGAGCGTCAGTCAGTCAAGCAGTCAGGCAGTCAATCAGTCAGGCAGTCAGTTAGTCAGTTAGTCATTTAGTCAGCTCACACGTGGCTGAGGCTCCATTAATGCGATTATTTCAGTGCACTTTTGGCAGTCGCCAAGTTTATGGAATTATTTCCAAGTCAGTGAATGGCATACGTCCAGGGATGGGTTGGGTGGTAGGGTGGTAGAGAGGGGCTGGGTGCCGCATTAAAGACATTTTAATGATTTGGCAGCCTGAGTAGAGACAATGGCCAACCACAAGCGATTTCCCACTGCTTGCAACATGTATCAATAATTTTTCTGTTCATTCTGCCACATATATTTCACACCATGCTTAGGCGCGAATTTGTTGTTCTAATCCTTGACAGCGTCGCTGTCTCATTAGCGCCCCACCTTCCCCGCCCGTGGCCCGACCAAGCCGCAGCAAAGTGCGCTAAGCGCTGCGTGTTGCACGTTAATCGCATTATTTACAGCAAACAGGATCAGCGGCATGACTTTTGCGTCTGAGCGGACATGGGCCAGACTGCTTATAGCCCCTGCCCGCCCCCCTGCCCACTCAAAAGTCAAGGCGACAAGCACTCCCACGGGGATATCAGTGACATATGTAAAGTGTAAGCGCACCCAAGGACGTGCAACGTGCGGGGGTTGAGCTACTGTCAAAGCGGCGGCGCGTGCCGGCGTGCGGTTCGTGTAATGAATATCCGCTTAGCTGGTGCTGCCCAGGATGCTGCAATAACGGGGTTGCAAGTGCGCCCAAACGTGCACCAGCCCAACAGACAGCAGCCACCCTAGCCGCTGGCCGCTGGCTCTGCCAGCCGTGCCGGGCGTGCTATGGGAAATTGATCAGGGTGACGTCCAAAATATGCCAACGTTCAGTTTCTGACACTATTCAGAGCTGATTGACTTGCCAGCCCAGCCAGGCACAACAAAAAGGGCAATCTCTAAAACGATTTTAGTAGTGTGAGAAAAAAAAAAACACATTAAAAAATACTTTAAAAAATATTAATGCCATGATTGAGTGTGCTTGACTGGGAAATGCCTGGTGTCGAGATTTAAATTTGGGGTAAAATACTATTATTATCGATTTTATTATTTATATATCTACATATATACCAATCCATCCGACAAACAGCATTTACAGCATTTAACATTTACTGCTAGATCTCTGAGACCTATATATTACTCCCATTGTCATTTTTTTATCATCCATTTCTCGACCCAATACGTTTCTTATGACATAGTCAAGATATTGTCAAAATCGTATCTGCCACGGTCTATATGTACTTCTATATAGTAATATGTGCTACTATATACTACAAATTTTTCGCATAGAAATTATTTAATTTTGGTATAAAAAAAACACAGTTGTGTAAGACCAGACTCCAAGACTCCAATAATCTAATGAACAGATGTCATGTATCTCCAAAATTCTAAAAACTGCAACAATCCTAAGATAAATATTCAATCTTGAAGAAAGCTTCTTCGACCCCACAATGTATATATATTCTCGATCAGCATCAATAGCCAAGTCTGAAGTATGAACGCGTCAAACTCAGAACCTTTAAGAGCTAGAACCTTAAACCAGAAATTTTGATTAATTAATATATCTTTACAGCTCTATTTTGTGATGCATTCTTCGTCGTAGTTCCTATGTAACATTTAAAACCATAATATAATAGACTTATGTTTCCCGGATTACTTATTTTCAATTCAACTGGTTCGTTTCCTTGGCCTTGCTTTCGGTTCTAGCCGCTTTTCACAAGCTGCGCTCAGCTAATTCCTGGAGCTCAAAGAACGTTGTTGCAGTTGAACTCTTAACCCAAGCCCCCGCAAAGGTAAGTCTGGCGCTTAGCTGCTTGCCTCAGTTCTGTGTTATATGATATTTTTTTCAGGCACTTCTCAACAGAATAGAAACAAATTAAAGCTCATTGTTCGGCTGTGCCGCTTTTGGTGGCAGCGCAATGTCTCAGATTACAGTTCCAGTTGCAGCGCGCAGCCTCAGCATGCGATTCCCCACAAGGTCCTTGCCAAGGACCGACCGCCCGCCCGCGTTGGCTTTGTCAGTTTTCGCATCTTTTTTATTTTAATATGCTTTTTTTTTTGTTTTTCGTAAAGCGAGTCACGTGCCACAATGACGACACTTCTGACATATCCGGCGGACCACACGCCGTCGTCAACCCCCGTTCCCCCACCCAATCGCCCTTCCATTCCATCG